AAGATGGTGGGAGCAGAGAGAGCAGAGAGAGAGAAAGACAGACTCTACTCTTCTTTTAAAACTCATAGAACCACAACCGTGGCCACCATTTTAATCCATTCACTACTGTATTATCCTACAATCTAATCACCTCTTTAAGGCTCCACCTTTCAATTATCTTGATAGGATTTTCCACCCTCTTAACAGTCACAGTGGGGGCTAAGTTTCTAATACATAAAACTTGGGGGAGACACCATTCAAGCTTTAAGGAGTTTTGGGGGGACATAATTCAATCCACTACAGACCCTTTAGCCAAAAGCATTTTCCTTTGGGAGTTTGTTATGTAAAACTTTTCTTTTAGAATTTTAGGGCAAGAAGAAACTTTAAAGAACATTCTAAGGCAGCAGTCTGTTTCTAGGCTGAATTATGCCTACTTGAAAATGTATACATAACATACAGACTACTTAAAATGATGTGACTTTCCCTGTTCTCGTATCACTTTCAATTGGATATGTTCTTTTTAGTACTTTTCAGCTCATTAATCTCTCTGTTGATGATTATTTAGCTGGTATATTGTTCAGATTTTTTTTTTGGACTTCTGCTACTGAACTTTGGGCCACTCAACCATCAATTATCACTTCTAATGGAGGAGAAAGGAATGAATCAGTTTCACTTTTTAGATAACTGCATTATTAAATGTTTTGATGAGAATGAGGGTGAAAATTATTGGATTACTGGATAATTTTGAAATTCCTAAGTCGCTAGATTTCATTAATAACTCCCCTTTGTTGCCAGAAGTGTCCAGTATTCTATAGCATATCGTTATATTACTAAAAAAAGTCATCTAAGGTCATTTCCTTTTATATTTTTCTGAAGATTAGGGAGAGCCAGAAATAACTTTTTAATCATTTAATTCGTTTTAATTCATAGATTTTAGTGTTCCTATTTCCTTGGAATTTAGATGTAGAAAGCAGGCAGATAAGACTCTGGGTTCTTTGATAAAAGCACTGGTATTTTTAACTATTTATACCTCATTTTACCTTCTTCAAAAACTTTGCGTTGCTAGTGTAAAAATTGAGCCACTGTAGTATTATAGAGGCATTTTATCTACTCAGCTGTGCCAGGTGGCAGGTAGGAACTGGGGGACACAGTTCTGATACACTCAGTTTGAAGGATAGGTTTCTTTTGTGTTGAGGGGGCACCATTAGCCTAGTACCAAATGAATCTGGTCTCATTCATTTTCTTTTTTCCTTATGAGGGGTTTTGGTATGCTGACACTTAAATATGGATTAATAATAGTCTTTAGCGAGTGGTGGTGAATATACACACTGGAAATAAATATGTATAGGACCTTGATTCATATATTTATTTTAAATACTTAAGTTAGAATGAGAGAATGAGGAGCCAAAGCTGGTCATATCATAGCTCACATATTATTCNTATGAGGGGTTTTGGTATGCTGACACTTAAATATGGATTAATAATAGTCTTTAGCGAGTGGCGGTGAATATACACACTGGAAATAAATATGTATAGGACCTTGATTCATATATTTATTTTAAATATTTAAGTTAGAATGAGAGAATGAGGAGCCAAAGCTGGTCATATCATAGCTCACATATTATTCAGAAAGTTATCTCAAATTGGAGTGTTATAGAAGAAGCCCTTTTATTTTTCTTTCATTTTATTTGTTCTTTTCTACCTCTAAATCCCAAGTTAGGTACAGAAGAATTATCATGATGTGAGTGACCTGATAGCTGATCTAATCAAATGGCACCAAGGTATCAAAAAATAAATATATCCACATTGAGAGTGGAGGTTGGTGGTGGAGGTATAGACTTGTAGACATACCAAGAATCCTGGCAGAGGGAAAAGAAAGTGCAAGACAGATAGTCAAAACACAGGATGTTGTCTGTGTGCATTCACATTTATATAAACTTTATTTCTCTGGGCCCAGATATGTATGTAGGGACTGCTAGATTAAGGTGGTACCTACCGAATAAGTCCCATGGGATTCCCGTGGAAGGACCTGTGTGGGTCCGAGTGCTTACCACTATAGAATCACCAATCACACTTGCCAGACAGAACTTAAAGGAAAGACTTTTTATTTCAGAAGATGTCGACCAGGAGGGTAAAGTCCCGACTGAGGGCTGGGTTTTATATAGGTAAATGTATTGGGTGAAATAGGATGCTTTGAGAGATGTAGATAGAACGTAGGATGTCTTCAATTGTGGTGGACAGCTGCTTCCTGGTTTGCAAGACAGGATACTTTGAGAGATGTACCAGGATGTATTGGGTGAGGCAGGATGTCTGCTTTTGATACAATCTTAGTTAATCATTAAGGGCGAGCTATAAAGGGAAAAACAAAGTTCTATAGTGTATACATGAGTGTGGGGGGTTTCTACATTTACAAAGCCATATTAATTATAAACATATTCCCAAATTAATTTATTTTCTCCAGTATTTTTATCAAATCAGGTAAGCTGATTTTATATCTATATCTATATCT